TCAGTCTGTGAAACGCAGGAAGGCAGGCTCGCCGGCAGATATAACTGGATGAGCAGGGGCGAAATAGTATGTGTTTAGAAAGAGCGCAAGTGACGAAAGTAACGCGCAGGCGGCCAACTTCAAACATGGATGATGGGTAAAGTCAATTGCGAAATAGGATGGACGAGGGGGAAAATTAAGGGAGGGAGCACAGATTTGGAGAGGATGAAAACGAGAGGGTGTTGCTAGGTCTGCCAGGCGCGTAACTCCCACCGATATTGGGATCCAGGCACCTACGCAGTAGGCTCCGTCGCTTGTCTGTGTCACTTGCGCGCAAATTCACTTCTCCGCCATACAACGGTAGATTTTCACATGTTTTTTACCTAGACTTAGTGTGATTTTCTGTACGAGACAATTCAATATGAAAATCAAGTATGCATTGTTGACTGCTGCCCTCCAACCACATTGCGCCCCCGGAGAGACTTGAATTGACCTTGACTTTGTCTTTTTGCTTTTTATACTCACTAGGGAAGGATGAAGGGTCGAAGTGGCCATATGAAATGAGACAAGTATCATGGTATGTGGTTTCGGACGCTGATCTCGAATCTTCTTCCCAAATCTGCCAAACGATTCGCTGAACGGAGTTACGGAGGTTTTTTGTTCCCTCACACAGTTTAACACAGTGAGGAATCGGCCTCAGCAGCAGCGGCTTGTGAACGAAGCAGTGAGCCTCTTGACCAGGTGGTGGTGGCCTGGTGGTTAAGGCAGTGGGCCTAGGATTTCGGGGTCAGTGGACTGACTATTTGGCAGTAGTAAAACATGATTTCCTTCATCATTGGTCAGCCCTACTTGCTTTTGATGAGTTGAGGTCGATAACTTCGAAATTTTTCCTAACTTGCATGCCACTACATAAGGTTAAGGCGCGCCAGTATACGGAGCGCGCGCTTCAGCCGTTTTTGAGTGAACGAATGTGAGATCTGTGTTCAAGTAGTCCAATAACTCCTGGGGCCGATTTCTAGAAAAATTCGAGATTTTGAATTAATCTCAAAAAAGTGGGCGAGTCACTCATTGATGCTACATATCCATAGCCGGTAGTTCCAAGGTTGACCTATTTCGACCGTTGCACCTCATGCAATGTCAGGCGCAGGCAATAGCTCAGTGGTAACGCTCCACGTTGCCAGTGGCGAGTTGCAGGGTCGATACCGCGTGAAACCCAGTCGAAACCCATGAGCACCGAATAGTTGTCTTTTCTCAACACAGCTTTCGATGACGTCGCTAAACGTTCCGTGGTGCACTGTCAATGAATCAGTCTTACATATCATCCACCGAGGTTTGGAGAGAGTGGTTTTCCGTGCCGGGTTGGGAGCTCCATAGCGCTTCGTCATGCCTCTACGCCGCCGCTGGCAAGGTAGGCGAATCAGCGTCCGGTTTTTGCAAACAGCGTGAGCCGTCCCACTGTTATAGGCAACTCTTCATATGTGGCTGGTACTACTCCGTGGTGCAGTGGCAACGATAGCAATTCATACACGCACGGCGCTGGTACGGGTTCGAGGAGGAGGGATGTTTTGCTTGCGATGTCGCGAAGCTGCGTGTTTCAGAGCTAGTTAACTTCCAACTTCAACAACGTTCTTTGCCGGTTACGGGCATAGGATGGCTTTCCTTAACAGCTAGTTTGGGGTAGATTACTACCGTAGGTCTTCTACAAGCACTTTTTGTACAATCCTGGTGCTTCGTGGTGCGCTAGGCTTCCTAGCTTTAGACTGATGCAGGCATCGTCCACTACGCATGCTTGCACACCAAGTATAATTCTCTTTTTGCTCGACTCTATGAACTCGTTGTCCTAGAAAGCTTCACGACGCATGATGGAAGCTCCGCAAAACTATCACAACTTTTGACTTTACTACGGCCTCGAAGAAAGTTTTCGCATCTAATTCGCCTTCCAATGAAGCTTGCTTCCGGGTCCTTCCGGTTCTTTCCAAATTAGTTGAGGATTAATTATTAGAAGATTATCTCCGCTACGGTTGTCTTCTGTCATGCGTATTTCACTTATTTCTATAGGAAGATTGACAACATTGACTTCGGAATCCTCCACTTCCTTGCAGCGCAGAGAACTTGGCTATTGCAGTCACCTTCTGTCTCATCATGCTGTCTCACCAAGCACTCTCGTTTTACTGCCACTGGAAAGTTGTAATATTTGGTAAGACTCCTTACAGTTCTCCACCGGCTGACTCCTCGAGAAATCCCAGCGCAGCACGATCGCTGCAATTTCTGTACCGCACTGTACCGCTTCTTCAAAGCAGAGTCGAAAGCCTCAGGACAGGCAGTTCAGAATAGAAGCTTGAAACCGCTATCTCTGCCCTTTCATCGAGCGAGAGAGCCATGGTTCCATAGCTCAGGTATGACCGCGAATCAGATATCACAACACAGGACTCCCTGTTGCTTGTGTAGAAGTTCACCTGATACGAAATTCGGTGATAAAGCATTGATCTGACTGAATATCCTACAGCCGGAAGTGTAAATGAACTCGCTTACTATTGCTGAGATCGAGTAAGGGCTCACACTGCTAGTTGCACTACATAGAAGACAGGAGCATATCTGGATAGTTCAATGGTAAAGGAGACCTTTTCTGTGAAGAAACTATGCACGTTCTCAGATTGCTTATTCACAGTAAGTCTTTCACAAAATATGCTTTGCAAAAGCTGCGTCACATTCAACGTTACCGTGGTGTTAACGATATCTCACCATAGGAAGAGCGGAGTAATCAAAGAACACGTGCAATCAATAGAAACAGTACATTAATATTGTTATCTTTGTGTAAATTCGGCTAAAAATTGTAACGTAGATTTTGTCGAGCGTATGTCTCTTGAGTGTTTCTAATTTCGAGTGGAGCTAGCAAATACCCGCATCAAATCTAAGTAAGTACTTTTGGGCGAAAGGTTGTCGATCTAAGAGTGTCGTAGGAACTAAGTTATTTCGAGTTCGAGTCAGAGAAAATTCGTGAAAAATATTGACTGTTCACTGAAAACCACAAAAGGGCACATCTAGTGATCACTGCTTAGACGGATCACTCATGCTAGATCTTGCTGTAGCAGCTGCTATCTCAACAAGTTGCAAGAGGATTACTAATTCCCAGTGAGGAGCAATCGCGAAATAATTACTGAGATTGTTGTGTTCACAATCTTTTGTATTCTTGCTTGTTTTCGTCTCCACTAAACGAATTTTTTGAGGAATTAGTATCTCCAGTGTATTCTCCAAGAGGCGAAACTCTTTTGCAGACTTGCTCGTTTTAATTTGTAAGACTCAGTAAAGTAATCTGAAAGCAACGAGCTGAAACACAAGGCAGCACACATAGATCTGCAGCACTCATAATAACTGAAATAATAACAGTCTTTGCTTGGGAAACAGTTCGAATTTGAAGAAACAACTGAAATAGTCAAAACATTTTCAAAAAAGCTGCAAAGGTTTTGAAAATTTTCGTTCAAAAAGTTCTCAAGTGTCGCGGTAGGATCATCTATCATAAGCATCGACTCATGCTCAATTTGTTCGGCTTGATTCAAATATTGTGTTATTGTTTGTCAAGATTATACACAAAGTTTGTTAGGTTAGGGTAAAGTCATGAAAAGTCATGACAACAAACATAATCCTATCATGTCATGGCGATTAAAGTATGAAAAGGAGGAGACACATTGTCTGCCTTGCTCCCTAACCAAACCACCTGAGCTATATTTTTATTTATGATAAGAAGAGGCTAATACCAACGCAACAAGCCCAAATGACATTGTGCAACAATCTATTCTGTGAGTGGGATAGTTGCTTACGAGTACTACTGTACTAGACAGCTTTGTCGCGATGTTCCTCAAGGATTCCTTCAAGAGCCAATAGCTTCATATGCAGGTAGGCAAGTGCACACATATGTTACCAAATATAGAACTAGCCATATCGATAGTCATATCTATAGTCATCGAGGCAGTTCAAAAGGAAGATATCAGCAAAACTGTTTTGAAGGAATCTTGCGCGGAAAAATCATGATTCTATTTCAGCCATAAATCACTGGCTTGAGACTCATTATCCACGATAAGAATGAAAAGAACAGAAATATTGCTTTTGTTTTGGTAAAAAATTCGAAAAATCGAAAGGGCTGCTACGCGTTCAATTGCCCCGGACGTCTTTCACAAATGCTGGCGACGGGGATGCTTCCACTTGGTTCTTGGAGTGCCTTCACTAGAAACTCTTTCTGGCCTTTTGCTTATTGCATTCACATCTCACACTTCTACTCCATCCTATTCTATCGATCGATTTGTCTCTACTCTCCGAAATCGCGCGCTTTAACCCGATTCTTTCATTGCGTCGCCTGATACGTAGCCGACCAACTTCTTTCCATGCCTCGCTTTGGCCCGCGCCACGCCACTTACCTTCGATTGTCCATTGAGTGTAAGCTTGTTTCTCTTCGTGAAATGAATCTTGAAATGTGGAACATTGTATGTTGTCTCTAGTGATCACAACTGACCCATGCGTGTTGGGAAAGAATGCAAGCTTTCTCCGAGAAGGATCTCTAACAATTCTTCTGCAGCTTGCGCTTCCGAAAGCTACTTGAACCAGCGCTTCAACTGTCATCCAAACCAAATCACCATCACAGCCTGAAGACCTCGTCAGCAACGGGCAAACAAACTTCGTTTCCATCCGACAGGAAAAGACTCACAAGAAAGAGGACAGATAAGAGACTCATGTCCGGGATAAGAGCGGTGACCTATCTTGCTTTCCATCGTAATGATCTATGCAATGGATGAGGATACTACATGCTACATCATACAGGATATTAAAGCCTGTTAGGTTCGGATTCGCGGAAACGAACATCAGATGAAGTCCACAACGTATAAGAAATTTGAATAATACAAGCTCATACTTCCTCACGGAACAGCGAACAAAGTAGTTCCATAGAAATAGCTGAAACTGCTAAACTCTTTCCATAGAACAAAACACATTTTCGTGTTGATTAAATTTATTTACTTATTTATTTGCAGCTATTGCACAACAACGGTCACAAATTGCTTATGAAAACTGAGAAACTGATTCATGCACATCGTAAGAAAATCCTCTGTAACAATTCAGCTTGAGGTAAGCCGAACAGATTAAAGCATTGAGTAATGAGGTCGGCAGAGATTAGGGGTTAGGAAAGAATCGATCAACTGCTCGACGTTGTATTCGAATACTTCTACAGATTGTTGAATTGTATAGTCATATTGTCAGTATCAGGGCCGACTGAGCTACAGCAATGAGCTACAATTATAAATAGAATTAGCTGATCAATTAGAATTTGGACATGATTGAAAAGGCGCAGAGGCCATAGTGTAATATACTGCCTCACATTGGTCTAATTGAATTCCACTTTAACCAGAACACCACCCCTTTCTAACTCTTCTTCCAGCTATTTGTGCCAGCTCTGCAACAAGGTAGAGGGCTCAGGTTTGCATAATAAAGGATGAAAACGGATTGCCACAGTACACGGAGCACTCTCTTTCTACAAGCAGTGACCCACTCGTTCCTCACACTCCATATTCACTGTCAGATCTTCGTTTCAAATTCGAGGGTAGGCTTAAAGTAGCGCTCGACGCAATAGTTCTCCATGAAATTAATTGCAAACAAATTCATATATTTGTTATCAGCGGACTTCGAAGTTCTGACAATGAAGAATGATGATAATGATCCCGCATAAAGAATGTCATGAAATGACTTCGTGAAAAACTTCAAGCTGACGAGACCCATGTGTTGATAGATGATGTTGACCTTAACACATTGAATTAAAGACTGAGTTGAAAGTTCCACTTTGTATAGCAGTTGGTCAACACTCAATAGAAGCATGTTTTATCCTATTTTGCAAGTATGTGGAATAAAAAAATTTAAGTGTAGTTTTGATAACAGGTGCACTGCGAAACAAAAAAAACTGTTATAAACCGTTTAATCACCTTGCCTTGGGCGCTGATCGTGTTGGGTTAGCAAACCAGCCCTTTTGGCGTTTCTGCTGGGGCCGTATGCTGAATGTTGGGGAGGGGATGGGGTCCCCGAGGTCGACGGACTACTTCAACTCGGTCGGTACGGTAGGAGAGTGATGACGAAGTGGTGCAGCTAGGTCCAGCAGCTCCGCCAAAGGGCTGGTTTGCTTACCCCAGGACTAAGCCTTGGAGAGAGGACGGACCTGCGCTCTCTCGCAGGTCCGTCCTTTAAGGCTTAGTCCTGAGGTAAGCATCAAATTGAGGCGGTTTAAGGACCGAGTTGAAGTAGTCCGTCGACCGTCGGGGACCCCATCCCCTCCCCAACATTCAGCATACGGCCCCAGCAGAAACGCCAAAAGGGCTGGTTTGCTTACTTCGGGGGTAAGCGCTCTGCCCCTTCAGAAATCTTATTTGTAACAAGTGCTCTTCATAAGATACGGTATAGTACGCAGATAGATGGGGGTGATCAATGAGAATTCTGCACAGTAAAATTATCAAACTATTTGCAGTTTTTTTGCCTTCTTCTATGTATCAGGCGTTGGCCAATCACCATTGCTTCGAGGATGCCCGATAAGCAGTTCAGATACTGAGGATTTTTTCCTAAGATCTCACGTCTTTCCATACACCATTTCCATCGTTTAAAAGAGTCTTGTCCACGCAATGTATCCCATCCATCGCAAACTTACTGGATTATGGGCCAGCAAAAAGTAGGACACCATCAACAAGAAGTAGCGAAACCAGCAACTTTCATTCTCTATGCTGCACTGAAAGAAGCATGTCAGTGTCCCCATGCGAGCAGATGGCCGCTCCGTGGCCGTATTCCACTATTGGACCATTTCACAAAACGCATCGGTCTCTTTCCAAATTTCGCTCTTCCAACCAATGAGTATGCTGTGTCAGTTTTGTTTTCGAGAATTAAGCCATTTTTTCCTCTGAAAGTTCATGTCCTAATTTTATTCGCAAGTCATTCGAGAGCGTCTTTCCAGCTCAACTTGCATTCATGTGGTTCTCGTAGGATTGTGGGCGGTCCACCCAAATGAATTACGATATCAATTAAAAGAAAATTTTTCTCTGAAAACGCTCGAAAATCAATCGGTAAGGTGACTACCACCGAGAATTGAAACTAAAGGAACGTACGGAATCAGTAGCCCACCACATTCGACGACACGGTCGACTGGGTCGGAGTTTTTTTAACATTTTTCTTCAGGTCTACTGGTCAAATATTCACAGGCAATATTCTACAAACACACCTGACAGAATCGTGTTGCGTATGTTTTGTAGAAGCTAGGCCAAAGCAGATGACTGAATTCCTTATTGTGATCGAATGGTCCGACGATAAGATTGTCAACGTTCTGGACACCAAACTTCAATATAAGTAAGAGAGCGGAAATCGGTCGTCAGCGCACCACCTAAATTCGTGGTGGAATTTATATGAAGATGGAATAGCGTCGTGTGATGGTACTCATCGTTTGGTTCTTACTCCAATAAATCCTGTAGCGTCAAAGGTACCTGCAAATTCGCAAATTTTCACCGAGCATTTACAGGCAGCGATTACGATTAATTCAAGAAAGGCCCAGTGTGCCGCGGTGGTGCTCAATGGTACGCCAGTAGCGAAAAAAGCAGAAAAATCCGTCAAAGAAACAAAAACGGGACCCCCTTTTTTGGCCGTTGGTTTTCACTCATGAACAGGTAACAGCTAAGAAAGTGGACGTATGAACGAGTTCACGCAACGCATTTGATGGCACCATGCCAAACTACGCTTTAATCGAGATGCTCCATTTGCGCCGCTGCTGGTCACGCAGCTCGTCCAAATCAACAAGTAAACTTGTGGGCGGATCGCTTTTGGGGCGGAGCGCTTTCGTCCTGCTCAGCAACCAGCGCACCTTTCGTTGTGAAAGCGCCACATCTCGCTTCCCTGGCAATCCAAGTAACTGACTTCGTGTGGTGCACATGCTTCCACGATGCGCTCCGTCTTTATCGCAATCGCTTCCTTTAGGCTTGGTAAGAACGAGCCGTTTTTTGGCCATCAGCCAGAAAAAATGAGTCTGTTGAAGTTGAAAAGTTGAAAGCGTAGGTGCTTGTTGTGACACAAGCAGTTCCTTTCCTAGTCGCTCAACTTTGAGCGTTGTCACCAGTTAGAACGAAAATGCTGGTCTCACCTCCTTCCTTTACCATTTCGGGGAAATTTCAAAACAGGAACTTCACCGTCATTCTACGCCTATTTTTCAAAGATCTCAGATAGCTCCGTTGATTGTGTTTTTCATGTTTGCAGACCCAAATGTCCGATTCTTCTGCAATTAGGTGTGATTCATTTCTCGAATTGATCATAACTCATGAAGACGTAAGTAGCAGACGACGACGTCTTCATCGCTGCAGAATTTGCACATCGAGTTTGTTGCCATGATAAACGGGGAATGGGGGGGGGGAAGGGAGAGACATTTTTTTGGAAATCAAAAGAGCATTATGCGCTATCGGATGGCAAACTTGATCGGCACAGGAATAATTAAAAGCCTGCACATACTTGCCATCTACTACCAAAACCTGGAAATATCAACAAGCTTTCTTCTAATGAAAACTTCTTCTAATGAAAACTGAAGACGCTTTGTGAGCAAACTTTTCACACGAGGGTCATGTTGGTCCAATCTGACGCAAACACAAATTTTCATTCTGTATTGAGCAGCTGCTGAAACTAAATGGACACCAGTGGAACCATTACGACAATCAAAGGCTATCGTCGTGCTTAGGACATCACACATTTCCCATGAGTGAGGTTTTGCCAGCTTTTCTGCACTTTGAGTTGTACAGTGGCATCATCACTTTCAACCGGTGGTGATGTTCTGCTCATTTCTACCACAGCTCAACACGTTGACGACAGCGCAGGACACATACGTCCCGCACTTTGCAGGCCATGACGGACAGCGCGGGACGTATGTGTCCTGCACCCATTACGTTCCTTTTTTCAGCGCACGCGTGATTCTTTCTAAGTTTATTGTGTTTACTCCATGGAATAAGCCCTAGCATAGCCACAAACATAGTAGCTCGTGAAATGGTAACGTATATTTTAATTTAGGAGTAGGATTTTAGAACCGCACGAAATTTTATGTCTGATTAATTTTTCGTTTCCATTTTCTCTTCATGAATGTGAAGGTTTAAAGAGTAGTAGAAGTAGATACGGACCTTAGAGATGACAACATGTGTGTTTTGATTAAAATAATCAAGTGAAAATTGCTTTTGAGGTCAATTGCAGCTAATTCTGACAATTTTTGCATTTTCATTGTTATTCAAGTCTTTGTATCGAAATTCCATTACTATATCACCCTTCCAAGCTTATGTTCACTTGATATCACTGTTTCAATTTTGCACCCATGTTTTATGTATTTAGCACTCAAAATCCGCTTGAATTACCTGAGGCGTCCGCGCTCGCAAAATCGCGCCGGTCCCACGCGGCCAAAAAAGCCAAAACGCGCGTTGTCGTCAACGTGTTAAAACAGACTCTCTATTTCCCCGACATACAACCTTGCTTGACCCCACTTTTTGATGACTTTGATTGTGATGGCTGCTTGTGTGTGTAAGATTCGGTACTACGTGGAGAGTATTCTTAAGAGGCTATTCAAGTTTGTGGTGGACAATGTGGGTCATGACGTGCGGAGCATACCGGAGCTCATCCCACTGAGGTCGGAGTATGCGTTGTTGATGGGTGAGACAAAGAAAACCGAGACCAAGAAAACCTAGCAGCGAGGTTTGTCTAATAATGTAGGGCTCATCACGCTACGAAGGAAGTGGACAACGCCCGCAAAGGAGTGGAAGTCAAAAGCACATAATGAGTGGGAAGCACACCGAAGTGGGTGGAGCCAGAATTGCGCCCGCATTAGGGTTCAGGATAGCCTGGAGGCCGGAAAATGCGGTACAGGCTAACGAAAAAGTGGGTTTTAAGCGCTCGTTTTGCGGTAGACATGCACCAGAGCGGCAGAGCCACAATGTAAAATTGACCTATTGAAGTGCCCTTCAATTGCCCTAGTCAATATCTCTGGGAATCGCACGACGTACGTTTATGGTTACTGTGCGAAGCCAATCTGCTAAACCAGAATTACAGTTGTAGAGGTATGAGCTGATTCAATTCGAGCAGCCAAAAGCCATTATAAATAGACACAACATGTACTTTCAACTGTTTCGCTCACCTTTCCAGTAAGAATAAACTTTTGGATCGGCTGACTCGTTATTCGGCTTTTCTGAAAGAACTAACATTTGAAGAGTATTGGAGCACATTCCTGTAAAGTTTCCTGAAAAGCATCGAGTACCATTAGAGGACATTTTCAGTGTAGATGTAATGTAGACCACTTTACGGTGTAAGGTGAATTTCAACTTGAATTACTACTGGGAGGACTTTGGGAGGTAGGAATTCATTACCAGTATAGCTTTCACGATGAAAGTCGGAAAGGGGATATCGCCTACTGCTGGGAACCGAATTTCTTCGCAACCCATTGTAAAATATAGCAAACTCCCATTGTGAAATATAGCGAACTATCTTCATGCATGCGAAAAAATTGTATTGGAGGCTGAGTCTCTTACGAAGCTGTTTTATCTCCACATTCAGATTGGATTTAATCACACTTTGCTCAATTCAAACCGAATGGTCCAACTTATTGAAGAGCGCATTTCATTCTATAAGAAAATCTTCATAGTGGCCACCTACGTGGACGGCATCAGAAGAATTTGCCCTGGAAACATGGTGCACTGGTCGAGCTCAATGGGGTCTTCGAAGGATCGTGTACCATAACGACCTTTACTGGAAGCGGGGGGAGGGGATTTGCATAGTGGGAGCTAATGTCTCTAGAAAACTATCCGAGATTGAATCGATTCACGAAATTATTAAGAGCTTCAGTATGGAGCTGCACAGTAGGCTTCCTTGAGCTTGACGACGATGAACGAGTTCTCCCTAAATACGCTTAAGACGTCATCTTATTCTGAAGACGGTAAGGGCAGTTAAGGGGGTCCCGCATTTACTTATAGAGGGTTATTTAGGGAGAACTCTGCTGAGGACCTTCTGTCAGTGGCGGCAATCTCTGCACAGAAAAAGGGCCGAAGTAGGGTAAAATGTCTTTTTTGCCTCCCACTGTACACTATAACCGCATAACAATGCAGATGTTACCCTGCAGTAAGGCAAATTTTAAGGCACATTCAGCAATTGCTTAAGTGACTATTGCACACAAATACGAAAAGATATGGAGGCATTTTGAATCAAGGAGTCAAAAGGTAAAGGGAACGGGCGAATACACCAACAAGATATTCCCTCTTCGTGGTACTTAGGTCTACGGAGAAAAGCGCAGGGTAGAAAGAATGGCGGCATGTGGGACCCGAGAGCGCTGACATAATTACAATCGTAACGGTAGGCGTGTCGGATGCAAGTTATAAGCTTAGGATGCTACTTGCGATCTCGAAAGTGTCACCTTCTTCGCAGTGTAGCTACTCCGCCCAAAGAAGGACAGTTCCAGCAAATTTTCGATTATTGTTATTGCAGTCGAGACTTTGGTTCTCAGACTTATTACATTTATTGTGGGTAGATAAAGTAGCAGACAGTGCAGTACTGACCACATACTCAGCTCAAAATTAGGCATATAATAATGGTTGAGAATAAGTGTGCGAAAAAATATGGTTAGAAAAAATGATTGCATTTCAATAAAACCTGAAAGCGGTTAGAGGTGAACGATTTTGGATTGTTGCAAATGCTCAATTATTTCCTCGGTCAATCAGGAGAGTAGAGATCGTGAAAGCAACAACTTCTTGAAACGTCTCAGGACTCGACCAAATTTTGAAAATTTTCATTTTCCATTCCCAATATTCTAACAGTTAGAGAAGAGGTATGTAGGTATTACGAAGTGAATCTGAACCACGTGTTTCCTATCAGGGATGTTATTGACATGTTAGACTTACTGTTACGGAGTGGATCCAGAATTACTTCCCAAGGTGCTGTTTCCGTGTGATAACTGGAACGTCCATTAATACTGCGGTCCGATGCATAGAATTTACATTTGGATGCAGCCTGAAATGTGCGTAAACCTAATCAGCTGAATAACCCAGTTTTACTATTATATGTAGATCTTTTGAGTGACTTCTTATATCCCCCCCCCGACCTTGGCACTTTCCTAGAATTTCATGAAGTACCCAATGAGTGATAGGCAAAATGCATACAATGCTGTGGTTGAGAGGCGGAGGCAGGGTCAACCGTCCGTTTGTACAGGCACGAATAGATGGCT